GCGTAGGTGTCTGTCATCTAAGTTTCAAGGCCTGTTTGTAATTCTAACACATTGCCCAAGATGTAAAGGTCATTCACCCTGATACTTAACAAATCACCCACATCCAATGAAATGCACACAAGAAGAAGAAAAAAATAAAAACCACAGAACTAATTTTATACAGACATTAGTCTTTAATGGCTTATTCTTGTATCTGACACAATATCATTAACATTAAGAAAACTGTGTCTCAGACCTGGACATGTATCGAAACCAAATACTTCATTAATTCATATGTGCAGCACAAGAGCCATTATGTATTAGAAAGGCTTTGGATCAGACCCCTTGGATGTTCATTGAACTACTCATGATGCATTTATTGCCTCACATGCCCTCTTGTGGGTCAAACTTACTTTACACTTTTGCACTGCACATTTAGGTGACCAATCCTCAAATACTTGGAGCTCATTTGGTACCCTGCTGGAAAGAATTTAAAATAAAGACAAGTAGTTGTAGGAGTTAAGTATCTTGATATCTGGAATGGAACAGATATCAGTTTGATACCCTGGCTCAGAAACAAAAGTGTTAGAGCAGCCCCCAGCTGAGAATGACTTGTGGAGGGCATGTCATTTGAAACATTACAGGGATTCAAGCATCTATCATGCCCTAAAATAACATGTGCTATGGATTTTACCATTTTTATTTGTAGATGGAATTTAAATTAAAGAACCCACCATTGATAAGCATGCAGGCCACCCTCTTTCACTTCTATAGGATACACAGTATTTATAATAACTTAATTTTTGCAGGTTCAAACATTGGTTAATTCTAACCTCGAGTGTACAAAAAACATACAACAGATTCCAACATGTCCTTTGGTATTCATGCGATAAAATGGAAGCCTAAATGGAAAAAAAATATATATATTGAAAAATCTGTGGGCAGCACGGTGGCGCAACTGGTAGAGCTGCTGCCTCTCAGCGAGCAGGTCCCTAGTTCAAATTCCGATCCGGGGGCCTTTCTGGGTGGAGTTTGCATGTTCTCTCCGTGCATGCGTGGGTTTTCTCCGTGTACTCCGGTTTCCTCCCACAGACCAAAAACATGCATGTTAGGATTATTGGAAACTCTAAATTGTCTCTAGGTGTGAGTGAGAGAGTGAATGGTTGTTTGTCTCGTTGGTCTCTGTGTCCCTGTGATGGACTGGAGACCTGTCCAGGGTGTACCCCGCCCCACACACAGTGATTGCTGGACTTGGGCACTGGTGACCCCCGTGACCCAAAATGGAAGAAGCGGGTAAAAGATGATGGATGGATGGATGGATGTTGAAAAATCTGTTTGTCCACAGTTTAATTGCTTGTAGGACCTTTTTAGCAGAAGTCATTTGAATTTGTCAGTTTCTTTTGGACCTTATCAGTCCCTCACATATTTGTGGAACAAGTTTAGCCCACTTGTCTCTACAATTTTATTTTATTTTTTTCATTTTTGTTTATTGAGGTTTACAGGCGTTTTAGTTTTTTGTTTGTTTGTTTCTGGACAGCCTTATAAAACATCTACAACAGTGTTTTAATCAGGATCAAGTCTGGATTTTGTCTGAGCACCTTGATTTGTTTATTTTTCAGTTGTCCTGATATGCTAGGTATAATCCGTCTAACAGGTGTCCTCATGTTTCACTCTATGAATACGATGGTCTACAGAGGACTTCATGGTCGACTCAAAGACTGCATGGAGCCCATGTCCTGCGGCTGCAAAACAAACATCAGTTGGTGTCAAGTGTTTGTGCTGATATGCTGTTTGATTTTCTTCAAACATGCCAGCATACATTATGGTTTCACATCTCTCTACTTTGGTCTCATTTGTCCAAAGGACATGGCTCTTGTGTTTCATTTGGATGCAACTTTAGAATCCTAAGTTATGGTGTCATGTTCTTTTTATATAGAATAATTTGTCATTTGTTGGAAGCTGTTTTAAAGTGTTTCCCACTTGTGAATAATGTTTTTCTTTAGGAAATGATGACAAATGGATTTGAAAATGACATTTAAGACTTCTAACCTTTATAGACAACAATGATTGCTTCTCCTATTGATGTCTTTCTTTCATAGGGGATGCTCCGATCAGTTTTTTTTCTTCTGCCGATCACCATTATCGATCATACATGGTGCCAATCAATGTCGATCACCAATTTCGATCACATGGATTGGTTGTAATTTTTTTGATTTTGTTAAGATGAGTGCTACTTGTTACGTGAGCTGGAAAATAGGAAGCATAAAATCACCTTAATTTGGACAAAAACATGTTTTTATTTACTTTTTCAAGACAAAAAATGTAAAAAAATAAAATAAAACAACTCGCGGGCACAATGCAGTCCATGCTCAATAATCCAGGTATAGAATCCAACATTTTTCAGTCAGGTCATCTGGACAGTTTCTTTTTTGTTGTTGTTGTGCTGAAACGTTTCACCTTCGATCCAGAAGGCTTCATCAGTCAAGGAAACACACAACAAAACTGATTCTGTCCCCAACAGCTTACTCCAAAGTGGAACAAACCAGTTATGTTGGTGCTAACATGGTCTCTTTGTCACAACCCCTCCTCTATTGCCGTCCCTCTTCCTTGTTGACAGTCGTGTCCAACTGGTTGATGTCAAATGTTGGATTGTATACCTGGATTATTGAGCATGGACTTTGTTGTTTTCAATCAGTTTGACACGACTGTCAACAAGGAAGAGAGCCGGCAATGGAGGAGGGGGTGTGCCAAAGAGACCATCTTAGCACCAACATAACTGGTTTGTTCCACTTTGGAGTAAGCTGTTGGAGGAAGAATCAGTTTTGTTGTGTGTTTCCTTGACTGATGAAGCCTTCTGGATCGAAGGTGAAACGTTTCAGCACACACACAAAAAAAGAAACTGTCCAGATGACCTGACTGAAAAATGTTGAACAACTGAAAAAATTTACTGGTACCTGTTATCAGTAACACAGTCAACAAGCTAAATTGTGCAGAAAGTCCAAGAAATCTAAAAACATTGCCTAAATCAATTAATGTCAAGTAAAAAAAGATACATTCAAAGTCAAAAGCAGGTTGAATTCGAATAAACTATCCTAATGTAAGTTACTAAATCAAAAATACCTGAGAGCATGCGTTACTCTTTTGTGCATGAGCAAACTGTTGTGCATTGTCAAAGAAATATGACTTGTTGATAAGAGTTGTGGAAAGAAAGAGGAGCATCCCAGCTATTTCAGTCATGAGTCTATTCCTGTGCTCGTCCACCATGTTGGATGAAGCGCTGAATAAGCGCTCACTCTCCACACTTGTGCAGGTGAAGACAGGTAAGCTCTTGCTACTGTAGCAAGGTCCAGAAAGCATTCCTTATTGGTTTTCCAGTATTCCAGTGATGATGACTCCGAGAGATGGTTGGCTCTGAGAGGTAGAAAATCATCTCTGAGGGTGTTGCACTGTTGGCGTGAGCCTGCTGCATGGTTTCTTCTGTCAGGATCTCACCAAACATTGAAGACAAGGATCCTGGTCATGGCACTTTCTCTGCTGGCTCCCCTGTGTTGTTACCTTCAGGTTCTTGGTTTGGGTCCCTCTGAGTGCCTTCTGTCATCAGATGAAGAAGCAGTCTGTGTGTACGGTCTTGAGACCTTCAGAATAAAATCTGTTTTTGTACCTTGAATGGGGGGTGGGGGTTGGGTAGAATCACATAAATTTCACACGAAACTCATTGTGTCAGGCCACTTGAGAATAAAACCATTAGCTATGTATATGTAAATGCTTATTTTTGTGATTATTTAATGATAATTTTCTCAACTTGCGTCTATGACTGTTGCCAAACTGTAGAGGGGTTCCTCTTCAATGTCAGCAAATCTTTAGGTGACAGCTTCCATGATCTGCTGCAACATCTTTGGCAAGGAGACGCTTTAAAACCATCTCAGAGGTGTGGGCTGCATTAACTGCCCTCTGACTGTTGTTGCTGTGGGTGTCTTCTTTGCAGCGAGCCTCGAAAACTCACCGTACTCCACCAAGTGTTTGTTCTTCAAATGTAAATTTAAATTTGTTGTGCTGAAGGATTTTAACGTGCTTCCACCGTGAGGTATTTTTTTCGTTGCATGTGTTGCAGGATTCAAACTTTACATCACTCTCAGATGGTGTACATAAGTTCCACATGGCAGACATGTTTGTTTATGATTTACCAGGTGATCGTTTTTTGTGATCGGTACTGAAAGGCATTGATTGGTATCGGCCAATCATGATCGGTGTCCAATCTGTCCTAACATCTTGATCACCAGTAAACTGCAAACAAACAAACAAAACAAAAAAAACCACAAAAAATCTCTTGCTTGTACAGAGGTGGTTATACTTGCTGATGATCACTTATCAGCTATTAGTGTTTGGGGACTTTCTGTTTTCCATGACTGTAACAAGAAGATTAACACTTGTTTAAATATCTCTGACCTATGAAAGGATAAAGTAAAATAAATAAATAAATGAACTGTGATTCAGTAGAAAATAATAGTAATTATCTTGTAATGCTTACTTATCTCAATCTCAAAATCTATGCCACAGAAAACTGGTGACAAATAAAATGTTTGTCTTCACAAACAGACTATCTTAACACAACAGATGACACAGTGGCTTATTTATTCTATGCTTTCTAATCACACAAGACGAAAGGTACGTAGATTAGATAGACAGTGATTATCTTCAGTGACTCTGCTAGAGTTATTACCAGAATATTAACTTGCGTCTAAGCGATTGGAGCTTTTAAAGACAGTAGAAAATTATAAACACACCATTTATTTAGAAAGATGACAGTTTATATAAGAAAATCACGATGAAAAGTAAGCTGTTGTGTATTACATTGTTGAGTGATATACGGTTTTGCGAGCTTAAAATAAACGATTTACCAGTAAGATGCTTTCAATTCTCTACGAATTTAAATACATTTGTAATCTAATAAATACGACGGTTTACATCTCAGTGAATAAAGAATTTACGAGGGCCCATGAATGCCTCATACGGACAGAGCCACGCCTCTAAACGTCAGCAGGAAACAAGAGAAGCGTCCTTGGTGATTGTGTTTGTATCTTTCTGCCAGTTTAAGTGTAAAATGCCCTTTTTTTAAATAGCTGACAATAAAAGCAGAAGAACCGGATGAGAAACCGTTTCAAAGAGGTACATTGCTCGTCACGTATCAGTTTTTCTTTAAGTAAGCAGGCTTGCTGAGCTAACATTAAGCTAACGTCGGAGATTAACTCATCGCGTCGCTTTAATTTTACATATTAATGCCGCAAAAACGAGTTCAGCTTGACCTGTTTTAATTATCGGTATTCTTGCTATTTAACTGGGAGTGCATTTTTTCGCAGGCTCGGTTATTCCTTGTTGGAAGCTAACTTTTTTCTTTAATAAGTTAGCTCATAATCTTGTTAGCTAGCAGAATTTCGTTTAGTTTAGCTCGTTTGAACCCGTGTTTTTGTTGTCTGTAGCCAGTCATCCTGTTTGTCTGTTTCTGCAGTGACCATGACAGCACCTGCTGCCATAGGAGGCCAGCTGATCCTTGAAGAAGACTATGACGAGAACTACATCCCCTCTGAACAAGGTACTCCATGAGACCTATATTTTATCATCTGCTAGGAAAGAACATGTGGAAAAAACACAACTTATGGAAGTCACTTTCATCTGTGACATCATGAACATGAATTAGGTTATGGTAAACATGCGGGGGAATTCCTCATCGGGGTGGGGGTGTGTGTGTGGGGGGGTAGTCTTTGCCTCGGGTGGAGGAGTTACAGTATCTGGGTTTCTTGCTCAGGAGTGAAGGTAGAATGGAGCGGGAGATGGATGGACCGATTGAGGCTTCGTCCTCAGGAATGAGGGTGTTGCTTTGGTTGCTTTTGGTGAAGGCAAACTCAGGATTTACTGCTTCGTCTATGTTCCAACTCTCATCTGTGGTCAAGAGACCAAGGAGATGGTGAATTTCAGAAGGAACAAGGATCCTCTTCATCCCCTACACATCGGAGGAACAACTGTGGAGGTGGTCTCCTGCTACAGGTACCTGGGGGTGCATATATCCAGTGACCTCACCTGGAGTGGCAACAACATTTCCTGTCTGTTCAAGAAAGCCCACCAGCCTCTCTACTTCCTCAGGAAGCTGCGGAGAGCTGCGGAGATCTTGGGAGCTCTGTCCTGAGGAGCTTCTATTGCTGTGTGGTGGAGACTGTTCTCTGCAACTGCATCACCGTGTGGCACGGCAGCTGCACTGCTGCTGAGAGGATGGCTCTGCAGAGGGTGGCTAATGCAGCGCAGAAGACTGTGGGGAACAGCCTTTCCACCACCTTGGACCTCTACACATCAGGATACAAGGGGAGAGTGTTTCACATCATGAAGGACTTAACTCATCCTGCACACAGTCTGTTACAGCCCCTCCACTCAACCAGGCAGCTGAGGAGCATTCAGAGCACGACAGACCTGAGTCTGAATTTCATACCATAAACATGCAAATGTGAGCTGGTACAACAATTTAAAAAATCCTTGATTTCTTGAAAAGGTTTAGATCATGACCAAAATAACAAGATCTGGGATATAAATGACTGAAATGAGCATCCTGATTGTGGTGGCTGAGCTCAGCCTTAGAGATAAGGTGAGGAGCTCCGTCAACTGGGGGGAGCTTGGAATAGAGCTGCTCCTCTGCATCAAAAAGAGTTGAGGTGAGGTGGTTCAGGCTTCTGATTAGGATGCCTCCTGGACCTCTCCCTTTACAGGTTTTCTGGGCACATCTCACTGGTAAGAGGCTCCAGACCAGACCCAGAACTTGCTGGAGGGATCATGTATCTTGTCTGTCCTGGAAACGCCTTGGGGTCTCGCAGGAGGAGCTGGAGTGTGTCGCTGAGGGAAGGGAGGTCTGGGTCTCTCTCCTGTACCTGTTGCCTCACGACACGACTACAGATAAGCAGCAGAGGATAGAGATGAAATACAAACAAATGAAGGACAGCAAGTCCTCTGCTGCCTTTCATGCTAGCATTTAAAACTAAGATGATCTTCTGTTGAAAAAAAGCTGTAGCTGTCGTTTCAAGGTTTTCCAAACCTTGAAAGTTATGTTTTTATTTATTATTGCATGCCTTTTGCCTATTGGTGATGGGAGGTGATGTTTAAAATAAAGAAAATATTGTATTTGGATGACCTAATAAACATTACATGTAGGACACATAATTGTAAATGAAAAAATTCTCATAAAACACAAATTTATACAATTGACAGCATACACATTCATTTAGGAGCCACGTGTTCATGAGTGTGACTGCCTGAGGGTAAAAGCCCTCTGAAGCATGAGGTCCAGACACTAATACATCATTAAGCACTTTCCTGAGGGGAGTTAGGAGAAAAGATGTTATGTATTGCACATGTTATGTAAGTTTTTCATTCTGCAGAGGCTGGTGTAGATGTAAAAGGGCTACTGGTGAACTAATAAATTGCAGCCTTCATCAGTAATTTACAGTCATATGCTATAATATTTTTACACCAAAGTAATATAAATCCATTTAGTATGGTTTTTACTTGTGATATGGTACAATTTGGTGAGGGATTTTTGGACACAGCATTTTTAATAAAAACCAAAATAAAATCACTTCTGCACCTTTTATTACACAATGTGCAGAGACTATCAGAGAAAGTAAAAAATGATTATCTACTTAAAAACAGATGTTATTCTGATACATCAGTCATAATCATTATAATGTACATCAAATGTATGGGATAGGATAATATTAATAATCAAATGCTAAATTGAGGTGCCTCATTTTGTTTTATACGCATCATTTAATTTAAACAGTGCAAACAGTTTAACAGTGCAAACCAGCCACTAGGGAGCACAAGTTGGTGTATCTCTTGTGCCGATCCCAAGCCAAGGTAAATGGTGAAGGTTGTGTCAGGAATGGCATCCGACGTAGAACACTTTTGCCAAAACTATAATGTGAGTTCATCAAAGCAAAATCATACCGGATCGGTCGAGGCCCGGGTTAACAATGACCACCACCGGTGCTGTTGACAAACAGGGTGCTGGTAGAAATTGTGCTACTGTTAGTCGAAGACCACGAGGAGGGAAACGTGTCAGGAGACAGAGGGAGAAGAGGAACGTCAAGAATGTAGGACTGAGTGTTGCAACTCCAATTGTGGGGACAATGACAAGCAAAGGTAGAGAGCTGGCTGACATGATGCAGAGAAGGAAGGTAGATGTTTTATGTGTCCTAGAGACCAAGTGGAAGGGCAGTAAGGCTCACAGCATTGGAGCAGGGTTCAAACTGTTTTACTATGGTTTAGATAGAAAGAGAAATGGAGTAGGGGTGGTCCTGAAGGAGGAGCTGGCAAAGAAAGTAGTAAATGTGGAAAAAAATGTCAGATAGGGTTATGTGTCTGAAGGTAGAAGTAGAAGGTCTGATGCTAAATATTGTCAGTGGTTATGCTGCACAGGTTGGATGTGATGAGGAGGAGAAAGATACCTTTTGGAATGATCTGGATGAAGTGATAGAAAGTATTCCCAGGGAGGAGAGAGTGGTGATCGGAGCAGACCTGAATGGACATGTTGGTGAAGGAAACAGAGGAGATGAGGAAGTGATGGGTAGGTTTGGTGTCAAGGAAAGAAGAAACCTTGAAGGACAGATGGTGGTGAATTTTTCCAGAGAATGGAAATAGTTGTAATCAACATTTATTTCCAAAAGAGGGAGGAACATAGAGTGACCTATAAGAGTGGAGGAAGGAGGACACATGTCGACTACATTCTGTGTTGAAGAGGAACCCTGAGGGACATTGGGGACTGTAAGGTTGTGGCAGGGGAGAGCGTGGCCATACTGCATCGGATGGTTGTGTGTAGAATGACTGTTGTTGTGAAGAAGAGAAAAAGAGTGAAATCAGTGAAGAAGACCAAATGATGAAAGTTAAAGAAGGAAGAATGTTGTGAAAATTTCAGAGAGGAGCTGTTAAAGGTTCTGGGTGGTAAGAAAGAGCTTCCAAATGACTGGAATACTACAGCAACAGTAATTAGAGAGACAGGTGGAAGATACTTTGTGTGTCATCTGAAGAGAGAATAGATTATAAGAAAACCTGGTGGTGGAAGAGTGAAGTGCAGGATGCCGTTCAAAGAAAGAGGTTAGCCAAGAAGAAATATGACAGTGAGAGGACTGAAGAGAGGAGACTGGCTGACATGATGCAGAGAAGGAAGGTAGATGTTTAACATAAATAACCTGGAGACAGTAATGCATGCATTCATTACATCTAGGCTTGATTACTGCAATTAACTTCTGTTTGGTATCAGTCAGACCCCCATTGTACGACTACAACTGGTCCAGAATGCAGCAGCCCGATTTTTAACCAGTACAGGCAAAAGAGAGCACATTACACCAGTTTTGGACTCACTGCACTGGCTACCGGTTCACCTTGGAATCCAGTTCAAAATACTCCTGTATGTCTACAAATCGCTGAACAGTGTCTCTCCCCCCCCCCCCCTCTCTCTGATCTGCTACAACCGTATGTCCCACCACGCTCCCTGAGGTCAGCGGACCAGTTGCTCCTCACAGTTCTAGGAACTCGTCTTAAGCACAGAGGGGACAGGGCCTCCTCTGTAGCAGGACCAAGATTTTGGAACGAGTTACCTCTGCTTGTCAGACTGGCCCCCTCCCTCTCGGTTTTCAAATCCCGTTTAAAAACTCACTACTATTCAGTAGCTTTCAACACCAGATGATCTGTGTTTTGAACCTGTACGCTCCACACTGGTTTGTCGTCATATTTATTATCTGCATCGATTTTATGTCTATTTTTGATTTACTTCGTTTTGTATATTGCTTCTTGTGTTGTCTATTGTTCTGTCTGTACAGCACTTTGGTTGGCCTTGTAGCTGTTTTAAGTGCTCTATAAATAAAATGGTATGGTAAATGGTATGGTAGGAGACAGGAATATAAAGAGATGCAATGTAGAACAAAGAGGGAGGTAGCAAAGGCGATGAGGAAGCCGGATGATTAGTTGTATGGGAGGCTGAATAAAGAGGGCGAGAAAGATTTGTACTGATTGGCGAGACAGAGGGATCAGGCTGGAAAGGATATGCAGCAGGTTAGGCTTTTTAAAGAAAGGAATGGTAATCTACTAACAAGTGAGGAGACTGTGATGGGAAGGTGGAAGGAGTACTTTGAGGAGCTAATGAATCAAGAGAGTGAAATAAAAAGAAGAGTAGAGGTAATAGAAACTGTGGACCTAGAAGTGAAAAAGATTAGTGAGGGTGAAGTCTGGGAAGCTTTGAAAAGAAAAGAAGGGGAAGGCAGTAGGACCTGATGACATACTGGAGGTTTGGAAATGTCTTGGAGAGATGGCAGTGAGGTTTTTGACTCAAATATTCAATGGCATATTTGAGGGTGAGAAAATGCTTGAAAAATGGAGAAGTGTGCTGGTGCCCATTTTTAAGAACAAGGGTGATGTACAGAGTTGTAGCAACTGCAGGGGAATTAAGTTGATGAGTCACACAATGAAGATCTGGGAGAGAGTTGTGGAGGCAAGACTTAGATGAGAGGTGATTCTCTGTGAGCAGCAATATGGTTTCATGCCAAGAAAGAGCACCACAGATGCCATCTTTGCTTTGAGAATGCTGAAGGAGACAAAGAGGAGATCTATTCTGTAGATGCAGTTAGTGAGGACAGAGGATTCAGAGGACGAGTGCAATGGAGGAGGATGACTCGCTGTGGCGACCCCTGAAGAGGAAAAAACTGAAAGAAGTTCATTTAGACGGTGCTATCATTTCATTTAGTTCTTCTTATATTTCAATTTGTCCCTCTGTACAGAGATCCAGGAGTATGCAAGAGAAATTGGCATCAGTCCTGACAATGAGCCTGAGCTCATGTGGTTGGCCAGAGAGGGCATCGTTGCCCCTTTGCCCCACGAGTGGAAGCCTTGGTAAGTAAAACCATGGTATTGAAGGCAGAAGCTGCTGTTTTAGTTTAACTGTAAGGTTGTACAGCAGTCAAGTTTTTTTATTTATGTGAACGTATTTGTACAGTGCCCTGAGATAACTTCTGTTGTGACTTGGTGCTTTATAAATAAACTGAATTGAATTGAAGTTTTTGGTTGTTTGCATTTAATCAGGAAATTCTCTTGACGTTTTAAGAATAAAGTACAGCTGCCTTTTGGAAGTGTCTGGGGAGATGAAAGCTCTTAGCAAGTTTAAGCTTCTTGAATCTTTCTTTTGAGTTATAGACAGATGCAGTTTTTCCTAATATACCTAATAAAACTGTTTGTCTTGTTCAGAATGCCAGTATTTGTGCCATAAGTTTTAAATGGATTTATTAAAGTAATGACACAAATAACAAGCTATAATTATTTCCAGCTCTGCTAATGTTTGGGTTTATTTTGAGGTGCTGAAGTGACCCCCTTCAACTCCCCCCGCCCCTTTCCTCCTCAAAGCCAGGACGTGACAGGAGACATCTACTATTTTAACTTTTCCACGGGACAGTCCACCTGGGACCACCCTTGCGACGAGCATTACCGCCGCCTGGTAAACCAGGAGCGCGAGCGCTTGCAGCTGACAGCTGGGGGTGGAGAGGAGAAGAAGGACAAGAAGAAGAAGAAAGAAAAGAAGGAGAAAAGGGAGAAGAAGAAGAAGAAGGAGGTGATGAAGGCTCCAACGGTAGGTGTTTTTAGTTCAGCACAATTCAGTATTGTCTGATTATTTAACTACCTTTAAAAACAGAAGCTGGTAAGGCTGTCTGCCCCCCACCACCCGAGAATAAAAATAATATCACATTCTGGTATGAGTAATTATTTCTGCTGCCACTCAATGTGATTTAATCTTTTTTTTTATTTTTTTTTATTTTATTTTTTTTTTTTTTATCAAAGTCTTTTTATTGATTTTCTTTTTCCAGAACACACACACAAAAAGAAAAAAGAACATATAACAAACCCCGCACCCCCACCCCACTCCTACACCGGATCAGCTACACAGACATGAACACATCAGACGGGCATTGACATACTTTCAACATAAGACATGAATGGCTGATAAGTTTCCTAAAATCTCTCAGCAGAACCTTTCAGAGTAAATCTAATCTTTCCCAGATGAACATCATTCATGACTTCTCTCATCCAGTGTTCATATGTCGGGGGATGAGCAGCGTATAAATCTTGCTGAGGACCCTGCACCCTGTCAAACTTGCACTCTAAAATCTTAACCACAAAAAAAACACAATGTTTAGAGGGGTACAGAGGAAAACAATCGGTTAGAGTTCACAATAAGTTTTTAAACTTAACAACAGTTTAAAGCTTTATTCAGCTGGGAGGGAGATACAGCATTTACTATGCGAGAGGTGGGGGACACCCTGGACAGGTCTTCAGTCCATCACAGGGACACATAGAGACAAACAACCATTCACTCTCTCTCTCACACCTAAGGACAATTTAGAGTTACCAATCAGTCTAACATGCATGTTTTTGGTCTGTGGGAGGAAACTGGAGTACCTGGAGAAAACCCACGCATGCACGGAGAGAACATGCAAGCTCCACCCAGAATGTCTGGGAGGCAAACTTGCGACTTTCTTACTGTGAGGGGACAGCTCTAACCACTTTACCGCCCTGGCAACTAACGTGGGGCTGGAACCCACAACCCTGAGATTACGAGCCTCATGCTCTACTGATTGAGCTAGTCAGGCTACAACCAAACAAGAGCCCATAAAAATATATTTTTGCCAAACAGAATGACTTTCAGATTAATTTCTTTCATTGTTGTTAAAATGATTTTTATTTTGTGTTTTGCTGAAATGGCAGTATTGGGAAGTTGTTTTTTTCAGGAGCAGAATATTTTGCAGTTATTCATTTGTGTGCTTTAACCCTAAATTATGGCGTTCTTCTGATGTTAACTAAATGCTGTTTAACTGGATGATGAAGGGCTCGCTTTAAGACAAACAGTGGATGCACTTTTGAAAAATTAAATTAATATTCTTGAAAACCAAAACCAAGTATCTGTAATTCACTTTTCAGGTTTGACATTTTTCACATGCCAGATTATGATTTTTGTCAGATTTTACACAAGTACGTAATCATCAATTTATATATTTGTTAATAGTGGAGTCCTCCTGAATCTTATTTCATGGAGCCCAATATGATGCAACAGATGGTGTCAAAGTGAAGTTCGAGTTCAACTTGAATGGTTTTGGAGGTTTTTGTCAGCTCTTTTTCTACCATCTGTACCATTCGTGTGATCAGCCTGTGGTTGCATTTTTTGTTTGCATCCATGTCCTGGAAAGTTGGCTACAGTCCCATGAACCTTATACTGTTAAATAAAATTGGCAGCTGTGATCAGAAGAACACGAAGCTGCTTGGAGATGGTCTTGTAGTGTTTACCTTCAACATGGATTTCTATAGGGGTTGATATGAGGTAGAGGTAGGGCAGCCGACATGGGACCAGAAAGTCACGGTTCGACTCCCCGCCATGCCCACATTGTCATGGTGTCTCTGAGCAAGACACCTAATCCCTAATTGTTCCCCCGTCCCTCAGTAGCTGACCATCTCTCCACCTGGGTGTATCCCAGGTGCAATGGGTCAAATGCAGAGAACCAATTTCATCATTCTATGGAAACATACGATGATGACAACATATAGCACTTATACTTGTAATCTTCTTGTGTTCTTGGGGCAGCTCCCACCTTTGCATGCTCCATGTTCAGTGTGGTGCACAGAATGAGAACAAACTGCACAGTAACTTCCTTGTTGTCTTTAAATGTCTGATTAAAAGCTGTTTCCCTCCTTCTCTGGCTGTGCGTCTGGTCCTGTAGACACTGACTTCACCTTTAGGGCCACATGCCAGCTTGGGTCCACTCAGAGGTCTGGATGCTCCAGGGAAAAGTCCTCTCTCTGGATCAGTTCCATCCCTCAGGGGGTCTCTTGGCAGCTCTGTGGGCCTGGAGCCCCTCAAAACATTGCTCCCAGTAAGAACCTGTTCAGCCATTACTGCCACACTTTAATCAGAGTTAATTTTCTTTTTCCAAACTTTGTTGCTTTTTGTTAATACTGTATTGCTTTTTCTCAGGCTCCTCGAAGCAGCAAGGCATCAAGTGTTTTAGGCACCAGGCAAGACGAGCGGGTGTCACTTACTCTGCCTGGTTTAGACGACGGTGATGACGAAGGCAACAAAATCTCAGACAATGAGGTTAGCTTGGCTTTGTGTTGCTTTCAGAAATAAGCTTAATGCTCTTATAGAAACCAGACATTGTGTTATTTTCAGCCAAGTCTTCGTGGGTCAGACAGACTCCTGAAGAACCTCCACCTAGACCTGGATGCTCTTGGAGGAGGCCTTTGCTATGAGGTAAACAAAGATTTTTTTATTAGTTTGCTGGGTATTTGTTTTTACCTGCATTCTTGAATGTTTACCACTGTTCTGTGCCTTTTTAGTACAGTTTAAATGGACTTTTGTAAGGATTAATTAGGCTTCTTTGTTGTTCTTCAGGACAGTGATGCCAGTGAAGCAGCTCCAGCTGAGGAGCGGATGGAGCCAGAGTTGCAAGAGGAGGCTTTTTCTAGGGAACATAGCCCCGAACCACCATCCCAGCAGGTACAAACTCACAGAATCACAAATATATCTGCCATCACTCACTCTGTCACTTCATCTACCCGTGAATCACAATATTTAAATGTTTGCTCAGTTTTATATATTCTAACTGATTAGCTTGAATGTTTCCATCTATTTCCTTAACATTATTGTTTGCCATGTCATTTTGTTCAGGCCTATTAGGTGAGTTGACAGATGTTTTAGAAGCAACAGAATGGTTGTTGATGGATAATTGTGATTCTAGATGCATCTTTTGGCACAACTTCACCCTCCAATATAGAAGCAATTTCACAGCTTATATCTGTGGTTTATTTTCCCGGAACAGTATGATTTGATTTTACAAGTATTTTTTACTGTATTTATGTGTATTATTGAGTTGAGAGTTAATCCTAATGATGTGTGTATCATTGTTCATTGCTATAGTGGCCTTTAGTCACTGTCCTGTGCTCTTGTGGTTTCTGATCCATCTATCTTTCTTCCTCTTGTCTCTCTTTGACCTGTAAACCTCTCACCTTTGCACTGGGCCTGTCGTGTGTTGATGCAGCTGCTGTGCTGCTGGGACCTGTCCTATGGGCACGGCTTTTATTGTGCCTTCCTGTTTGTCCTGCTGTCTTCCTACTGTCACTGCTACTGCTTTGCTGCCTGAACACAAATGACCCCAACTTGTGTTGTCACCATCACAACAACAAATCCTATTATTTCCGGTCACGTGTTTAATAACGTATGAATAGCACAACTCCCTCTTTTACCTTGTCTAAACAAAAAGTTTTGTCCTGAAGTTATTAAATTCTCTGCAGACCTAGATGTATACATGTGTAATGATTCAGTGCTGAAACATAAACACACTCAGACCTGTATGAAATATCTAGAACCCGATACGTGCTCTGTTTAATTACACGTTCATAGTTTAAAAAAATATGTATGTCCTTTATAATTTTTAAGGATTATAATCTTAGACATCAATCCTGCTGGGGTCCTCAGCAGGTAATAAAATTAGTTCGACACAACTTTAAATGAAAAGCAATATTTTAGGTGTCAATAGCCTTTTCTGTCAAAAGTTTTAGAGAAAGTTTAAATGGACTTAAATTTATCTAAGGAAGCCGGCAGATTGTGTTGAATCTTCACTTTGTCACAGTCTCCCATCCTGAGCAAGCACATCAGGACGAGCGGCCATCTGCTTCGACTGGCTTGGGTTTGAGGGAACAGAAAGGAGAAACAAATGAACACAGAATGGCAGGTCCAGGTGTTCTCCCTATTGGAAGAAAGACACAAAACACATGCCAAGGGTATAAATAATTACAAGTCAATCAACCTTTATTTATACAGGTAAATCCCATTGAGCCTCGAGGACTCATTTACAAGAGAGACCTGACAAATACAAACAGGAAGAGTAGAGCAGGTAAAGACTGCAGCAGAGTGAGGAAATGTGGTCATTTTGTCCTCCAGCAGTCTAAGCCTATAGCAGCATAAATAAGGGATAGCTCAGGAAACCCAAGCCAAACCTAACTATAGGATTTATCTACAATGAAAGTCTTACACTTAATCTTAAAGTAGATAATGTGTCAGCCTTACGGACAGAATTGGAAGTTGGTTCCACAAGAGAGGAGCCTGATAACTGAAAGATCTTCTTCCCATTCTGCTTTTGGAAACTCAAAAACCACAAGTAAACCTGCAGCCTGAGAGCGAAGTGCTCTGTTGGGAAAATATGGAACAATAACATCTGTAATTTAAGATGGAGCTAGAGCTTAATGCAGTTGTAAAATCAACATTTTTCATGTCTCCCTAACAGGCTTGTAATGCTTTTTTGGATTTTCAACAAATTAAACAAACAAACAACAAAGCAGACTGCTCCACAAGCCTCTGATTATTTATTTTAAGTGCCAATACTTTTAGAGCTATAAATATAGGGCCAGAAAATAAAAGTCAGAAGTTTAGTTATGATTTACGGTTTGAGAACCACTTCATTGGTTGATCGACGTTTAAAGGATTTAATTTCTTCCTAAAAGTGTGGTTGTACAAGACCTGACTGTCGGTAGCTTTCATGAGAAGTTTTGTCTTACTTCATGTAAATACCATACCACTTTATTTATAAAGCACTTAAAACAGCTACAAAGCCAACCAAAGTGCTGCTAAATAAATCACAGCAGTGCAATATGCCTGATGTTTTTGGTTATCTCAATTTTTAAACCTGTTATTGAACAGTTTAACTTTATTCATAAACAGTGGTGTACATTTGTATAGTGATGGTATACCTTTTTATTTGTTTTGTTTGTGTTTTTTTAATCCAACCAGTTCATTTTTTATTAAATGCATGATCTGTTAGTTTTGCATGCAGGTGTTCCAGTTCACACCTCTATTAACCTTCAGCAGGGGTCAGAGTCTTTTTGTTTGCCTGCTTTCCTTTAATCCCCGTCCATCCCTTCTGTTCCTTATGTCTCTGCACGCCTCCCTCTGTGCATCTGTTTGGGGACGGATGGATCGTTCTTCTTCTCATCCTCATGGAAGGACTCTTTGAAGGGCCGCCACATCCAGCTCTCTCTCAAGACGGGCTGCAGAAACCAAGTCAGTGAGGAGGCGGCCGGTGCTCCCGCATGTGAATCTGAGCTCTTAGTTGAGCAGTCAGACATGGAGGAGGAGCTAAATGAGGTGGAGGAGGTTGGCGAGGTAGAAGATGAACAAAATGAAAATGGGAAGAACACGGAGGTGGCAGGAAATGAGCTGAAATATGGAGAAGAAGGAGAAGATCAACTTCTGGAAGAAGAGGACAAAATGCAGGAAGATCAGAGTGGAAGTGAAGAGAGAGTGAAGAGATGCTGCGTTGACAAAGATGAAGTGTTAGAAAATCTAAAACACAGTGGCAGACATGAGGGTGACGAAGTGCTAGAAGCATTTGCAGAGAAGCAGAATGATGAAGTCAGCGTTGGAGAAGAATCAGAACTTGAGGATGAAGTTATGGAAAACAGCCTCAGCAGTGACAAGGAGGACAAACTTGATGCAACAGAGAGCAGTGTTTCTGACGAAGAGCTGAACGAGGAGCGAGGCCTGGATTTTCTAAAGAGGCAGAGAGAGGATGAGGAGGGTGAGAGTGACAAAGCTGAGCTGAAATGCTCCAGAGGCCACAAAAAACTGACCGAGAGTCACGAGGAGGTGTTGGACAGGTGTGTGGAAGGTGGAGAAGAGGAAACAATGAAGGAGGGGGTGGAGAAAGGAGACGAAGCAGGGAGTCAGAACCCCCCAGGAGCAGAGAGTGACGATGAAGTCCTTGAGCTGTTTAACGTGGGCTCGACTAAAGTCAAACCTGCCACGCTCCTTTACAAAAACGGAGAGAGTCTCGCTGACAAGATGGAGAATGAGATCAACTCCTCCCATCCTGCAGAGGTAGGGTTTGGTGTTGCCTCTGTCTCCCCCTCCCCCACCTCCCATTTAGTCATAAAGCAGTTGCATGTAGCTGTCAGAGTTCAACTACAGTGCCTGAGGGGCTGCGACCTTCTGTCTGGATGTCTTCACAGTCTGAGCCCTTGAGGACTGGGTTGGAAAGTTTTGATCCCTCACCCCTTACCAGACTTGGAGTCTTCTTGTAGATTGGAGGTTTAAGCAGATTCAGAGTTCTCATCTCCCTCCATCACTTCCCCACTTTCAAAGTCTGTGTGCTTCAGTTACAGAAGGTTTAGAGCTGCCTGCAGCCTGGACCTACACTGCATGCAGTCACTGCCTTAAAGTAGGCTTCACGCGTTCTTGTTCTGTGTTTCTTGCTCGCAGTTTGATTGTTTGTTTGTGCATGCAAGCCCAGAGCTGTTGTATTATTATTAAGCATGCTTGTGTGGTTTTTGCAGGAATTCGAGGCCAGAAAGAACATTGCAGAGCCTTCTTCCTCCATAGATATCAAGGTAATCTGGCTGTTTCCACAAGACAGAGATCAGTTGTTTAATGTTGAATGTCTCAGATAGGTTCTGATTTTTGGATCTTGAAGCTGTCACAGAAGGTTCTAGACATCAGTGATCTGTCTGGTACAATCAGCCTGCTGGAGAAAGATGACGGAGAGGAAACACAAGACGATGTAGAGGAAAATGAGGACAGAGGGAGGACAAACGCTGGCACCACTAAGAGGTAATTTTGGTTTTCATGCTGCTATGCTCAGACAAGCATCAAGAGGTTTTAAATATGATTTATTCATTGATCTGAAGGTGAACTTCAGAGCACTTACATTATATTTAATAATGGCAGCTGTATTTACAAAATACTGCCATAACATGATGTTCATCATTTAACTGTAAAATAATAAAGCCATCAGTTTCTTAAGTCCTGTAAGTTGTAAGATGGGGTTTGTTTGTTCAGCAAACCTCACAGATGCTTAATCAGACTGAAATCTGGAGTATTTGAACCTCAAAATTATTGTATTTTCCTGAAATGGTTCTCAAACCATTAGGTTTTCTCTTGTCCCTTGTTCTCTTCTTATGGTGTGTCAGCCATATGTTATAAATGTAAACGTGACACAACAGGACACTTTCTTCTTGGTGCTCTGTTGTCCAGTTCTGGTGCTGCGGTGCCATTTGTTGATCCTTTTTTGTGAAAAGTTCTCAACACAGACTAGAGCTGTCATTTCTAACCCAAACCCTGCTCGGACTGACCCAGATTAGGGCCGGGCCGGTCCTTTGATGCGGTTTTACGAATCGTACAGCACAAATAAAATGAGTGGATGAAGAAAGAAATAAGAGTGCAGCAGTTAATTGTACTGTGGAAGAGATCGCTGGCGCATTGTGCCATAATTGCGCACGTGGGCTCAGGCTTCTGCGGTTTTGCGAATCATACAGCACAAAGGAAACTAAATGATGCACAATAAAATTGTGTTAATCTACTTGTTGAGGAGGAGGCAGATCTGACCGGCTGGTTGAAAGAGGTTTAAAAAAGTCACGTTAAGCTCAGATGGACACCTGTCACCAGCCGCACGCGTCCGCAGACTCTCTGGTTGAAATGGACTTGAGATCTGTCCAGGGTGTCCCCCACCATTCGCACAGTTACTGTTGGACATGGGCACCAGCGACCCCCGCTACCCGAAAAGGAAGAAGCAGGTAAAGATAATGGATGGATGAATCAATCAGCTGATCACTGGCCGTGCGCATGTCCGCACCTGCTGTCATCTGCGGTGAAGTAGCAGCATCTACAAAAGCTGTAGCGAGTAGTGCGTTCAATTAAATGAGCCTTGTTCTATATTTTTCCAAATAATTTTGCTCTAAAAATTGTTTTGGTCATCTGTATAATAACCTCTCTTTACATTTGATTTTTTTAGGCTATTCATTCTGTATGTTAGTATTCATTTGGTGACTTGTTAATAAACATAAATCTTATATCTTCCTTTCATTATGTTTTTAAAACTATTATGTCAAACTGATTTGCTTACAAAATCAGTAAAAGCTTAATTAAAAAAAGTTTGGTTGTTTTTCGGGTTTGGCCCTCTAATTACGGTAATCCGTTGGGTCTGGGTAGGGCTTGGAATAAACCCCAAAAACTACGGGCTCGGTCTGGTCCGGTCCAGATTTATTAGGCCCGAATGCAACTCTAGCATAGACTCTGACAAGTCTGCAGCAAACTGCTCCACACTGCGTCTTGACTGCTTACAATCCTATTACACCTGAGGGACATGTTGATGTAAAGAGATGGTTTTCAGTCCAGTTTGGAACAGTGAGAGAGAGAGAAGTGATGTTTTATAGGTTAAAATGTAGTGAGGTCCAGAGTTGAGGAGCAGAGCGGCTGAATGCCCTGCTCCCTATGGTGGGCAGAAGATACAGAGAGGTGGAGGGAGGAGGTAGATCTGAGGGAGCGGCAGGGGATGGAGAGATATGCAGTAAGTCATATAAATATGGAGGGGCAAGATTGTGGATGGCTTTACATCTGTAAAGAAGAATTTTGAAGATGATGCAGGATTTAACTGGGAGCCAGTGAAGCTGCTGCAGGATGGGAGTGATGTGATTATAGGAGGGGTTTGGGTAATTTCACGAGCAGCAGAGTTCTAAACTATCTGTAGCTTATGAAGGGATTTATTGGGGAGGCCAAAAAGAAGGGAATTGGAGTAATTGAGGTTGGAGGTCACAAGACTGTGGACCACAATGGCAGTGGAATGAGAAGTGAGAGAAGAATGGAGACTGTTAATGTTACAAAGGTGGAAATAAGCAGACTGAGTAACATACGTGAAGAACAGTGAGCTGTCGAGGATGACAACCAGACTCTTGACCCGAGGGGAGGCGGAAAACAGTGAGTTGTTAATTGGAAGGAGAAAACGTTCAGATTTGGAAACAGTGCTTTTGATACTAACAAGGTTGAGTTTTGTTTTATCACTGTTTAGTTGAAGAAAATTGTAGGAAAACCAGTGATTGAGCTCACTGAGACAATCAGTGAGGATGGAAGGTGGGAGCATAAAGTTAGGATTGGTAGGCATGTAGAGCTTGGTGTCATCTGCGTAACAATGAAAATAGACACCAAATTGACAGAAAATATGATTTAAGGGAAGAATGTAAATAATGAAGAGGAGGGACCCAAGGACAGAATCTTGGTGCACACCAGTAGAGATGGGGGAAGACAAAGAATGGAAAGATTGAAGTTGAATATATAGTTTAGTCTGAGAGATAATTATCTTTCTTTAGACCATTTTAACATCGCCTGACCACATAAGTTACACTTGTGGAGAGGTTTTGACTGTTCTCTAGCCCTAATGTTTTGATCTTTGTTAAATTCATCCAAATCTTTATGGTAGTCCAATTCTTTCAGCTCACATCAAATGATGTTGTAATGAGACCCTTTTATCCCCCATTTTATTTGTTTGTGGTCATAATGTTATGGCTGATAGGTGTATTTTAAAAGCGGTAAACTGGCAGTTGTGAAAATATTAGGTGCTGAACACCTCCCCTTGAGGAGAAACCACTTGTTTTTGAGACGCAAACCCAACTTTTCCATTAATATAATGCTGTTGAAGCTACTGAAACACCTTCCTCTTCTTCTTCTCCTCCAGTCTGATCCTGCCCAAAGACACGGACAACCCTCCATCCCATAAAGTTGACCGACTTGTCCTCCACCAGTCCAACCTGTCCCCTACGCTCTCCAACTCCTCCATCTCAGAACAAGGGGGCTCCAATCATCAGAAAGCACCGAGTCGTGGCACGTCCGTGGGAGTCCAGAGACCTGAAACCTCCAGGGGTCGGCCCGTCCGGAGTCTGGATGGCCAACTTGAAGATGCCAAACCTATCTTGAAAAAGCAAGCAAGCACTTTTGAAGAAGAGGTGAGCAGGAGATACAAGAAGGAAAGAGAGAAAGAAGAGGAGGCTGGGACCAGGGCAAAGAGGGAGGAAAGGAATGTGAGACAAAGGCAGGAGGAAGAGGAGGAGAAGGAGCACTTGTTGAAGGAGAAGGAAAAAAGAACGTCTCTTCTCCAGGAGCAGCTGAAAAGAGACAAGGAAGAAGAAGAAAGGAAACTGAGGGAGGAGAGTGAAGAAAGACTGAGGTGTACTTTTGTCTATTTACCTCAGATACTGCTACCATTGATTTTATTTTTATTTTTTTAAAGTGCTTTCTCTGTGTCCTCAGAGCGCTGCGGCAGCATCTGCTGTCTAAGAGAAGGGAGGAGGAGGCGAGGCTGAACGAGGAGTTGGATGGAAGATTGGAGGAGCTAAGAGAGTCTGTCAAGAAGGAGAGGGAGGAGCAGCAACAAAAACTCAGGTCAGGATGAGGTGCAGGAAACGCTCAATTTGAGACGCAGGCGTCGGTTTCTTATCATTTATGGCGTCTTCTGAAATGGATTTTCAGGTGAAAGTTCTTTCATTTTTAACGTCTTTGAAAACTTATTTTCTGTCCAGATTTATTAGTTTAAAACTTTTTGTCTTGTTGGATGAAGTGCGGCAAGTCCTCAAAACAAATTAGGGAAACCACCAGAAGAAAACTGGCTTGAAAATGTATCGAGAGCCGAGGAACTGTATCTGATAGTCATTTCTTTAAAGACCAGACACAAGACCTGCGAGATCCATCATCCTTCAGGTGATCAACTAATGTAAAGTCATGGGAAAAAGAAAGTCTGCCCTTTTTTTAATTTTGGGTTTTACTTAAAAGAACATAAGAAAAGGATTAAAATATGAGACAAACACTCAACAGATCCCTCATTGTCATTGTTTATGATACAGAAAGAAAGGTGTGTGTGTGTGGAAAAACTAAATTCATCTTCTGGTGCAAAACTTTTCGGGCCTTTTTTTAGCTGTCATTTTTCTGTGACTTTGTCTAAAGTTGTGGAGGAATCAATAATTATCCCAGGTATTTTCACTGATTAAAGTAATTTGAACAAGTTTTATTAGGCTTCTCAACATTAAACAAAAACAACTGGATTAGATATAAGTGGAAAGAAACCTCTGATGATCCCCCAACAACAGGTCTGTAGTCCGTTTTGTAATTACAGTACAGTACAGTACAACAAGTGATATGCATATATATTTTTAGTTTTTTTTCTTTCTGTATTTTGATTGTCCAAGAATAACGGAGCTCGGTGAGTAGAGGGAATGATTTTATTCATGACCAGGTGGAATTGCGGAGCCAGGGGGTGACTGATGGTGGCCTTAACCACCATAGATTAATCTTCAGTCTCCCCAATAATTTGAGGAAACAATTCAATTCAGTTTATTTATAAAGCACCAGTTCACAACAAAGTTGTCTCAGGGCACTGAACAGAAATGTTCACATACATAAAAAGCCATTTAGTAAAGTTCTCTATCTAAGGAAGCAGCAGACTCGTTGAATCTTCATTTTGTCACCTTCCATCCTGAGCAAGCACGAAGGCAACAGTGGAAAGGAAAACCTCTCTTTTAGCAAGGAGAAACCTCCAGCAGAACCAGGCTCGGGACAAGCAGCCATCTGCTGGTTTGAGAGGACAGGAAGGAGAGACAAACACAGAATGGTAGGTCCAGATGTACAGGTCCTTCTCAAAAAATTAGCATATTGTGATAAAGGTCATTATTTTCCATAATGTAATGATAAAAATGAAACTTTCATATATTTCAGATTCATTGCACACCAACTGAAATATTTCAGGTCTTTAATTGTTTTAATACTGATAATTATGGCATACAGCTCATGAAAACCCAAAATGCCTGTCCCAAAAAATTAGCATATCATGAAAAGGTTTTCTAAACAAGCTGTTAACCTAACCATATGAATCAACGACGTAACTCTAAACACCTGCAAAAGATTCCTGAGGCTTTTAAAAACTCCCAGCCTTGTTCATTACTCAAAACCACAATCATGGGTAAGACTGCCGACCTGACTGCTGTCCAGAAGGCCATCATTGACACCCTCAAGCAAGAGGGTAAGACACAGAAAGAAATTGCTGAACGAATAGGCTGTTCCCAGAGTGCTGTATCAAGGCACCTCAGTGGGAAGTCTGTGGGCTCCCATTCAGCTTCTGGAAACTCTAAGAAACGATCCTTGTATTCAAAACATTTAAAAAACATAGTTTCCTCCAATGATGGGGTGGCTGGTTTACACATCCCCCCCTTCCATCCACAGACTTACCGTTCACACATATTTTTAATATGGTGGTGGTCATCTTGGATTTTGGACAACACATTTTTCACTAGTAAGCTTTTTTAGCCTAGATGCTTCCACTCACCAAACTGGTACGTCACTTACTTTTCAAGTTGTCATGCTCACAACATGCATGAATGGACGTGTCCCCCTCATTGCTCTGTGACAGGGGACACAACAATATCGGTTCCTGGCTTAAACCTTTGGCACGGTACTGCACATTTTTAGTGGATGAACCAGTAGTCTTAATGCCATGGTTCTAGGGTCAAGGTTCTAGGGTCTAGTGCTTGATCTGACGTTTTCAATATGAAAAGTAATCGAGAACACTTGAAGCACGTTATGACAGCAATGAATGGACTGAGCCCTCACACCAAACACACTCAACAGTTTTATTTCTTTTAAACACATGAATGTACAGACTGGCTCTGATTCAGCCATCACTTCCTGTCTTATCATGGATCGTGTACTGGATGATCTGGGTGGACCACCACTCAGGTTGATGAATCCCTGCCAATCCAAACTTTGAAGTAGTAGTTCTTGTAACAGTGGAAACACTTGTAAATCCTTTCTTGTCCTCCAGTGACCGTGACTAAAGAGAACTTGCAACTTCTCTCTGAACAAAAGAAAAAGGAAAACCCAACAGGAAGTATCAAACCGTAGACAAAGTTCAGGATGAGCAATCAGAGCTACTGATGGGTGTTTACTGTCGGCAGGAAAGCACAAAATACTTCTTTTCGAATTATACGTTCAGTGTGGAGTAACTAGTACTGAGTATGAAGTTGATGAGAAGAGAAATATCTCATCAGACTTTGGATGAACTTTAACACTGTTTTAATGTTGGTGTGTGTTTTTCATGTCTGTTGAAGGCCATCGCTTCTGATCGGCTCAAGATAATTTAACAAAACTTCATGCTCACATGCATCATCACTAGACAGAGTGTTGCATACACTTATCATCACCCCAGCTCCAAGGTCACAAATCAAGGTCAAAGGTTATACAAGGTCTTTGTTTCTCTAGGCCATTGTTATATATTGCTGTATAATAGTTTCATTTATGTATTTTTTATTTTTTTATTTAACCTTTATTTATACAGAAAGTCTCATTGAGTCACAAGGACTCATTTGCAAGAGAGACCTGTTTTAGACATACAACATAAATACATGCAATATAAAGTACAGACAACAATATACAACAATAAAAAGCAATAAAAATTAAAATAGTGTCATAAAAACACTTACTGTTAGCAGCATGGTACTGTTAGCAGCATGGTACTGTTAGCAGCATGATCTTGGTAGCAATGTGGTTCTGTTAGCATTGTGGTTCTGTTAGCAGTGTAGTCTTTGTAGTCTTGTTAGCAGTGTGGTCCTGTTAGCATTGTGTTTCTGTTAGCAGCAATGGTCTTGTTGCAGCATGGCCTTGGTAGCAATGTGGTTCTGTTAGCAGTGTAGTCTTGATGGTCCTGTTAACAGTGTGGTCCTGTTAGCAGTGTGGTCCTGTTAGCAGTGTGGTCTTGGTAGCAATGTGGTTCTGTTAGCAGTGTGGTCCTGTTAGCACTGTGGTCTTGGTAGCAGTGTGTTTCTGTTAGCAGTGTAGTCTTGGTGGTCTTGTTTTCAGTGTGGTCCTGTTAGCAGTGTGGCTCTGTTAGCAGCATGGTCTTGGTAGCAGTGTGTTTCTGTTAGCAGTGTAGTCTTGGTAGTCTTGTTTGCTGTGTGGTCCTGTTCGTAGCATGGTTCTGTTAGCAGCATGATCCTATTATCAGTGTGGATGTATAATGCGTCATATGCGGTCCTCTTGTTATGTTCAGGGAAGAGAGTGACCTGATGGTGAAGGAGTTGCAGATGGCTCTGGAGGAGGAATGCACAGCAGCACGTAGTAAGCTGGAGGCCCAGAAGAAGCAGAACATCGAACGTCTGAAGGCAGAATCAGAGGAGGAGCTGCAGGCTGAGAAGAGGAGGCTCCAGAGAGAGCAGGAGGAGAAACTGAACTCTCTGAAACAAGAGGTGACTGTCACAAAACAAACACCCCGTTTCTTATCTCAGTGGTTAAAACGTTTATGCATCTGGCATGAGCTCAGAGTTGATGAGGAGAGCATCTGTATCTGACTAAATGTTTTGTTTTAATATTTTTAACAAAGATTACATTATGAAAACACTTAAATTTGAACCTTTACCAGTTGAACTGACAAGCTTCACAAGAAGAAGAAGATTTGATCTGTTCGATGGTGCTCACTGCCCGAACAGATTAATGATCAGCTTGCATTGACAGTAATTTGTCTGTATAAAGGTCAGCAGCACGGAGAGGAGGAGGGAGCTGCTGATGAGTCCACGACCTGAGCAGCAGCTGGCAGAGTACCACAGAGAGGTTCGGGAACACAAACACACACACGGACAATATTTCATCATTATTGGTTTTTCCTTGTAAACGAAGCTTGAAGTTCAAATCAGGTTTCTCTCTTCTTTTTTTTAATTGAACCATTGGGCGTTTGCCCAGCTGTCCGATGTGCTCCAGGAAGTGAGAGACGAAGTGCAGCGTGATCACGACAGCAAGCTGGAGCAGCTGAGGGACGACCACAGGAGGGAGATGAACAGCGTCCGAGAGAAATACCTGGACGAGGTCCGACAGGGTTTAACGTTTAGCTTGTGGAGAACTTTGTTCAGTCTAACATGCAGCACTCTGAACAACAGTCAACTAGAACATTCCCGATTAAACTCAAGGCTGCCGATGCAGCTGCTGCCCAAAACCCCAACATCCATCAGCTTTTCTCTCCTGAGCCCAGAAGTCCTGCGGGACTTACTTTTAAGATGATCTCAACTGACGTTATGCCAAAGATTTGATGTATGAATTGAATAAGAAATGAAACATTTGTGTCGAACACGTAGGTTTACACGACTCAAAAGTTAAAATGTGTAAGAAAATCTCCCAAAAGCTGTTATTATATAAATGTCACTTCAGTCATGTAAAGTCCTTTTTTTTTAATTACCTGTGTAAATTTTGAATCAATTTTTCTACTGTAAAGTAGCTTTACAGCTCCAAATAATTTCCACATTTTTACTAAAATCCATTTGTTGTTTGCTGACTTTATCTACACAGTACAATGTACTGCTACTAAAAGTCAGAGCACACTTATTATGCTCTCAACTCTATTTTAATGTTTTGGTGTTGGTTTTTATGCACCTGTCCAAAAATGGATGTATATGGTTCAATCTCCGTCCTTCTGTACGTAAACTTTCACTTGTCCCAACCATAACTTCTGATTTGCTCAAGCTAATTGATGAAACTTGATACGAGTATGCATCATTACTACACAGAGGGTTGCCTACAATTTAATCACCTAGCTTCAAGGTCAAGGCCACAAATCAAGATCAAAAGTTATACAAGGTCTTTGTTTGTCTGGGCCATTGCTATATAATGCTGTTATGTTGTATAATGGTTTGACAGGTGTATAATGTGCCATATGTGGTACTCTTGCTCTAAACAAGGAGGAGCTGTGGATCAAAGATTACAAAATCTTCAGTAAAATACCTAAATAGTAAAAATGATGCTTCAGACCTTATACATATGCACTCATACATATTCTGAGATGAAAATAATATATTTTTAATTATTGGTACACATGAACAAAGTACTTGGAATTAAAAACATCATCAGAAAATTTGAGTAACGGATTAAAGCACAGTAGTGAAGGAAGTGTTTTTCTTTAAGGTTTTATCCTCTAAGTTTTCTACTCGAGCAACTCATGGAGGGTCTTAATGTGTTTGTTTCAGGAGACGGCTCTGAGGGAGCGATTGCTGCGCACTCTGCAGGACGACCGAGAGCAGCTGCAGGCATCACATGCCGTCCAGCTGGAGAAACTCCGCCTGCAGCTCGACGCACAAACGCAAAAGACTCAGCTGGGGCACTCGCGCAAGGTGAGATGGGATACACACAGGTTTGCAGTAAAGTATCTACATATCTAACCACCACTTCTTGTAAGTCTTGTCTTCTTCACACAGGAATCAGAACTGCGGGATCTGTCAGATCGGCTGGAGTTAAGAGAGAAAGAACTGATGAGCCAGGAGGCCACGCTTCAAACCAAGGTTCTTCTTATTTAATTTAAATTGCTTCAACACAAAACAAATCCTCATGGACCGATCGTGTCTGTTTCCTGTCAGGCAGCAGATCTAAAGAAGAGGAGGAAGAAGCTTGGGGAAGAAGAGGAGGATTTAGACAGACGACTAGAGGTGCAACCTCCTAACACTTAAATGTTCTTATTATTGAATTAAAAAGGTTTTACGATTTCTATTGAAGCTCAAAAGTGGTTAACTCGGACCTTTGGAGAACCTCAGGGGTGTGTACTTGGTCATGTTTTATTTTCTTCATATCTTCTTCAGGGGACCTAAAACAAAATGTCTGATTTGTGTTTTATTGTTGTCGTGCTAATGAAAATGTTCTTCCTTTCTTGTGTTCAGGCTTTACCTCGGCTGGTCAAAGAGAGAGACCAACTAAAGGAGGAGCTGCACAGAATGAGGGAGGAGGTGGCACAAGCTCGAGAACTTGCCCACAGAGCCAGAATGGAGAGGAATGAAGCCAAGGAGGCAGAGGAGAGACTGAAGAAGGAAAGGGACAAAACCAGAGAGGAGAGCAAGAGAGCCAGGGAGGACAAGGAGCGACTGGAGAGCAAGGTGATTGTGCTACAGGAGAGATGTGAGCACCTCAACAGCAGAGTCAGGTACAGCTCCCCTATCCATGATGCAACATTCATCCCTCAGACCTTTTTATCTTTTGTCTGTCTTTCCTAAAAACACTGAAGAGACATTTTTATATTTGAAACCACAGGAAAAAAAAGTAAATTTGACCAGTTTAGACTGGCAGAAAGATGTATCATATTTTTGCATTTTTAAACTTGACTGTCTTGCTTTGTCAGAGAGCTGGAACAAAATGGAGGAGGGAACACTTCCCCCAAGCCAGAGCAGGACAGAAAGAAGGCTGAGAAGAAGAGAAGATCCTCTAGTGATTGGAGAGACTCATCACTACATGTGGAGGACCTGAAGGAGCCGTCTCTCTCCCCTGGACCTGACAGCCATAGCAGCATGGACGAGTAAGAAGAACAAAATGTGTTTGACTGTTTGTCTGAAAATATAATCATCCTGATTATTGGTTGTCAGGTTTCGGCGTTATGTGTCCTCACACGGCACCTCCATCCAGAAGACCAAAGTCTTCCTGCAGAGAGAGAGCAGCCGTCTGATGGAGAGACAGGCAGCTCTGCAGGCAGCACAGACGAGCAGCTCTCAGGACCCCACACTGGGAGGACTGACGGAGGAGATGATGAGCACCCTCCAGCAGGTGCAGGAAGGACCTGAAGAAGCCTGACTGGGCCGATAATCAGAAACAGAAGCACCAAACAACAATTTCTCTCTCTGATTCCTTTAGGAGTCCAGAGACGTGGCCGAGCTGCAGCGGACAGTTCAGAGAGGAAACTCCCTGCTCAGGAAGAAGGAGGAGCAGCTGCAGCAGCTGGAGAGCTCCATGGCTGAGGTCAGGAGAAAACTGTTACAGATGTTCCTCCTGAGATCTTACTGTTGCATCAAGCTCTGTTCATAACGGGCACTTTGGATATTCTCTGTTTTTTGTTTGTTCCTTATTAGAAAGTCAGTGTGAGCCTGAGTGGTTTTCTTCTTTCAGCCCGTGTTTGATGATCCGTCTCTTCTGGCTGAAGACAGAAAGGTAACGTTTGATGTGAGCGAGTCAGACATCAGCAGCACCACAGAGCCACCGCACGGCACAGGTGACCGCCAACACAACAAAGAAATGGAACGAAGAGGAAATCATGTTTTCGTACAGATTTATTCACATGACAGAGATTAACATTGTTCTGTCTTGTGCTGCTTTAGTTTCAGTGTTTTAATAAAAAACATGGACTTGATGTCAGACTCTAGATATCCAGCTGGAAACAAGTGGTACGCTGTCCCTCTGAGGGATTTGAATAGTGAATGCAGTTTTCTAGATAAATGTTTTTCTGGGCTGGAATTGAACAGGGAATGGAAATAATGCAAGATATGAAAGTGGGCAGGAGTTGCTGTAGAGAAGAACAGAGGGACACACACTCAGAGTGGTGGCCATCTTGTTTGTTTGATGTAGCAACCCATTTTTTGATGGCGACCTTTCTTACGACTCGATGTAGCCACAGACTAAAACAGAAGTCGGCACGTTGCGTATTTTTCGTTATCCAGCTCATAAGATGGATGGACATATATGGTGGCAGCCTTCTTTAATTTTGACGTGTTAACCCCATTTTTGAAACAAATCACTCCTAGATGCAGCCCCACACCAAAATGAAAGACACTACCTCACTTATTTTTTAATTTATGCTCGCAACACAGACGGACAGATGAATGGAAGGAGTTTCCAGTTGTCCCTCTTCACTCTGGGGGGGAACTGCATTTACTCGTTTGTCTTTTCCACCAAATCTTTGGATCCTGTCTTTTTCACTTTTATTCTCTAATTTTATTCCAATAAATGGAAACTGTGCACTCACGTAGCACAGAGCATCTACCGTAGGGATTCTCTTCTGGATTTCTTCTCGTAAAACTTCAACTCAAGAATGATTATTTTAATGAACACGTGCTCATTTTTGCAAACTTGTTGTGCAGTTGACAGTTTATTGATGAGTACGGCTCAGATTGATCACTGCAGGATGATCCAGCTCATCCATTTGTGTTCACAGAGCAACGTTTGAGCTCACCACCAAAGCAGCAGCTCCATGCCCCGACACGCCCAGTCCTGTTTGCAGCACGCAGGGGCTCAATGAGGCCAAACATGAAACTGTCAATAATTATTAATGCCAACCCTGTTGTCTGTTAGCAAAATATCTACTAAACCACTAGACAGATTGTATTGAAACTTTCCAGATGCACTCATGTCTGCAACGTTTCTGTTCTCGTTCTTCCATCAGGTCATCCCTCTGTCCCGGCCAAAGTCCAGCAGCTAGCAGAGTCCCTGCAGCAGATCTCAGGCCAGCTCAACACGGTTCTGAGCGCTCTGGGTTCACTGGCCCCGGGGGAGAGCAGCACACCTTACACCCCTCTCTCCACACTTCACTCCAGACTACCTCCCACCTCTGTGTCAGTTCTTCCCCAGACTCACAGCTGGGCCCCCAGCTCCTTCGTCCCTCCTCCAGCTGCGAGGCTCCCGGAGCCCCTCTGGAGCTGGGGGCCTCAGAGCAGCTCTCCTCTCTTCAGCAGCCCCATCGGCAGCAGCCTGAGAGCCTCAGAGGACCTCATTAACAGCAGATGGAGACAGATATTCCCTGGTATGTATATTTGAACACAACACCAACTCTTGTTTGGATTCTGTTCCAGTTTGTGGTTCTGAACTGTTCTCATGTTCTCCAGGAGCAGCTGTTGATCCGAAGACCTCCCCAGCTTACCCATCACACACTCCTGTCAGGTAAGACCGCCCGCAGCAAACGTTGGCTCATGACAGGTTAGAAAACGACCTCCACATTCAAAATGTTCCATCACTCATCCTTAAAGTGTGTTTGTGTGTCGTGCACGCAGCCTGAGGTCGGTGGAGGCGGACGGCCAGCGGCTGCAGGGACTGATCGATGGCAACAAGAGGTGGCTGGACCTGCGCAGGAAAGACACCAGCATGTATCCTTCTGGCACCACTTCAGTCACAAACATGATCGGGGGGCTGAGAACTCAAACCAGTTGTGTTGTAACACATCGTACATCACAAGGCTTTAAAATGTTTTAGTTCATTTAAATCTGAAATTGTATTTTGCTAATGTAAAAGCACATTAAATTCAGGAATACATTAATTTCTTTAAGTTGTTTGAAAGCCTGATAAACTGTTTTTATTGCGACGTTAAAAAAACAGACACAAAAGGAGCGTAAATAAACCCGCTCCCTGGAGTAACGTTGTAAACACACATCAGAAGGTATGATGGTATAGTCTCTGTCCAAAACTTCTGATCTGCTCAAAATACTTTAAAGAAACTTCATACTCCTGTGCATCGTCACTAGATGGAGTGTTGCGTACACTTTTCAAAACTAAATTGTCTTAAATGGGACTACGCTGGTTTGTTCACCTGTTCGGTTTGTGCACATCTTCAACAAAATACAGCTGTGGATTATTTTTCCAAGTTAGTCTCATTAACCCATATTTCGCTAACTAAAACGTTAGCTTCGCTAATGCTAAACAGGTAAAAAAAAAATTAAAAAAAAGTTAAAACTAACGTTAAACCGCTCAGACGACTGCGTCACACGTCTTCGTCTCCTTGCAGCTGAAGCTGCGTCGACCAATCACGTCTTGTCACGTGAACACGTCGTAAGCCAATAGCGTGCCTAACGGGCTGTTTGAGACACGCCCACAACAGACAGGAGCAAGATTGTGAATTTGTTTTATTTTATTTTCTAACTTTATTGAACAAAGAACATAGACGGAGTGGTGGCGCAGAGGTTAGAGAAGGTGGGCCTGTGATCAGAAGGTCGTCGGTTCAACTCCCTGCACCGACAACATCAAAATGTGGGTTGAAACGGTGAAGCACCCACACCTGCCTCCACCTTCATTTGCCCCACTCTGGGCCCTTGAGCAAGGCCCTTAACCCCCACCATCTGCTCCCCTAGACAGCAGCTCTGTGCTCCACACAGAGGGCTGTGGTAGCTCGGTGGTCTGTGGTTGTGTCAGGAAGAGCATCCAGAGTAAAAACAATTTCCAAGTCTTCATGCGAGTTAGTTCACTGTGGTGACCCCTGAAGAAGAGAGCAGCCGAAAAAAGATTGAACAAAGAACATGCGTTGGGCAGGCAACTCAATTCAAAAAGAGCATTGCAAATAAAAGAAAGATAATAGTGTTTATGAGCAAGTCATTGTTATAATTGTCTATAAGTATGTAAAGTACGTCTTTCTTAGAGAAGGTGAAACCTAATTTAGCTGAGGTTAATTCTGCTAATGGTTTCCAAAGTTGGCGAAAGCGTTAATTTGCTAAATGAACAATTAGTTCCACTGTTAACGGATTAGCAAAGCAGTGTCCACCACTTCTAACGTAGAGTTGCATTTGGGCCCAAAAAATCCGACCCGACTCGGCCCCAGCCTGTAGCCATCGTTTCTGAACCCCACCCAACCTGACAAATTAACAGTAATTACAGGTTCAAACCCTAAAACACCACAACATTTTTAATTGAGCTTTGACTGCTTATATAGTTATTAATGGTCAGCGGATGTGTGCGGCTAAGTGGGCAGAAGATCAGAGCTGAGGGGGTGTTTGTCCTTTCATGGCCGTCAAAGCTCATTAAACCCCTGCTTCTGTCTGCATTCTGCATTATTCAGACATGGACCCTGCTCTGATGTCTGCAGGATATTTTGGAATCTCACCTGTTTGGGTCGTCGGCCGCGTGCGTCCGCTGAGTGCAGCGGCCGAATGAACGTCCATTTGGGCTTTAGCTGGATCGATGGCAGTGGTCAATCTGAAGATTAACTGAACTTTATTTTACCTCTTTCAAGGCCGATCAGGACGCGGTCAAATGGCCGTGTGTGGCAGGTGATTGTATGGCAAGCCATGTTGCCATATAACTGGATCATCAGCTGCGCGCGTCTGCTGATGCAACCAAAAGCCCGACACCGACCCGGCCCGCACATAAAGCACATTATTATGGCCCGGCCCTAATCCGGGTCTGGTTGGGCTCCGAGTTAGAAATGACAGCTCTACTAACAAGTAATGCGCTTTATGACTAACCACCATGGTCATGGGAAATGGTTGACTTTATGATGCACAAGTAGTGAAGAGTTACAAGAATATGATGTCACAATAAACTGAGGTCATTACACTCCATTATGTGGCTTTGGGGCTGCAGAGTCTCAGAGACCATGTTGGGGCATGTTGTGTTAAACATGATAAATGTTACGTCTGCAGTGAGGCCATAAAACCAAGATTAAACTTGAGAAGCAGCAACCTGCAAAAGTTTGTTGCATCATGCTGGAGCCGTGTGTAATGAAGAAATGTAGCTCAAAATTCATATTGCTTGGAAATAATCAGGCCGAACACTGCTGTATTAGTTTGCTGTTAGTTTGGTGATGCTCTGCATGTGGTACTCTTATCTTTGCAGTTTGTAACTCTAAATCTAAGTCAGGCTAACGTGTTTCAGTGAAAGGTGGTGCCTGCAGCACAGTCTGAATCCTGGATCGACTCAGAACTCTGCAGGGCTGTCAAACCAAAGTTACACAAGTGGGCCAAAATTAAACACTTGGTCCAAGACACGGACCAGTTTCAGTCCAAGCCACGGACCAGTTTCAGTCCAAACATTAACCCCAGTCAGATATCAGAGATCTTTTCTTTTTTCTTCAACAAGAGTTTGATCGGTCTTGTTCGACGGTCTTTGTTTCAGTTCAGTTTATTTTTATAGCATCAAGTCACAGCGGAAGTCGTCTCAGGGCACTGAACAGAAACATTCATGTATAGAAATAAGTTCACATTGTTTATCTGATGTTTCCACATCAAAATCAAAGATGACGGAAAAAATAAATAAAAAATAGCTTCAAAGTTAGCCAGCTGTCACAGGAAGTCTGCACTCCATGAAGTGTTGATCATAAAATGTTTTTCTTTTATGTCATCTTGGAGGGACAGATCAGATCTTAACAAGGGCCATAACTGGCCCGTGGGCCTGGAGTTTGATACTTGTCTTAAAGGGACTCGGAGTAAGATGAACATTGCATTTTAGGACATGTGACAAATAATCCGGAGCATGAAGATCAACAGTTTTAATTGTATAAAGTTTTATTCTGGCCTTTTTTAATGTATTTATTTTTTAGATTTCCTTTGTCAGAAAGAGACTGGTCTGTAACCTGGTTCAGTTTTTGAGCATCATTTAGTCTTTGCAGCTTTTTATTCAGTCCCTTCACCTTTCTTTTAACCTTTGACCTTTACACGTCACACCGTGTAAATGTCTTCAGCTGTCGTTGTCTTTAACTCCGCCCTCCAGACCTCTGTTAACGCGCTACCAAGCCCCGTCCTCCAAGAGCAGCCTGGTCCAGCTGGGTTTGGACGAAAACAACCAGATCAGAGTCTACCATTACTGAGGACACGTCCCCCAGACTCTGACGGGGGGGGGGGCGTTAACGACGTGTCAGCGCCGTGATGTTTTCAGAGACCTTCAGGGAATCCTGCGACAGAGGATGGAGGATTTTATTTTACGCCAAGTACAATCACGCTCCTAAAACCGCAGCTGACATCTGTCCCGTTGCCACAGATGTTTCCAACGCACTCGATGAAACGTCTCGTGGTTTGGCAGAAAAACAAATGTTAAGATCTGATGAGTTTGTGAAGCTGTTAGTTTTTCTTTCTTAATGTTTACACAGCAGGATCCCAGTCCTGACTTTAATATGACTTTGTGCTCATGTGTATATTTTTTCATCATATATTTAAATATACTAGTTTTTATAAATATTCATGTGCGTCAGTTTTATTTAGTTAATCCCTCATGGACACACACGAGAACAAAAAGAGAAGAAAGCACCACGGATCTGAAAAGGGAACTTTAATTCAGTAACCGCTCATCGTTTCACAGTAAAAGACTTCAGTGCAAAATGACCCCAGCAGCCACACGAGGGCCGTCTGGACGGAAATACAATCATGGACACTTCCCGACGAGGACGGCGAGCTAGAGGACCGGGCCGACCCGAGCCCGGTTTGTGACTGATGATCAGAACATTGAAGGCCACCGACAGACGGAAGAAAAAAAAAAACACTCGTTCACACAGTTAGTTTGTAAACACACATGTACAATCATTTCAGTGATGTCTCCTGTCGATGGATTCAGAGCGCACGTCAGAGCACACGTCGCCTTCAGCAGCACGTAAACATGGACCACAACAAGACCGTCCAAGATGGCGGTGAGAGGACAACATGTTTGCATCGCTTGACGTTGATCCAGCTCTTCGTTGGCACATTAGTGTCTGTACAGGTGATTGGGGGAGGGGGTGCTGTCCTCCACCCCCACCTGACTGGCTCTGAGGCTGGTTGAGCGCCTGCAGGATCCGGCTGTGCTTCATGAAAATGAGACGACAAAGAGAAAACGGCGATAAGGCAAAGAGGACGAGCCGAGCTTCTCACAGGAGACCCGATGAGCCTAGAAGACGAAGATCTTGTCTCTCTGGACGGTGTCCAGGTCGTCGTCCATGGTCAGGAGGACCTGAGGAAACGGAAAGGATTGATTAAAGTGGAGCATCTAAATCTGAACTCAAGCCACCCCCTTTGTTGGAGCAGGTGTTGCTGCTGCGCTTTGTGTCGACCAGCCTCTGACTCCATGAACATTCGAGTCAAAAGCACCTGGATGTTCAGATGATGGACTTGTTAGAAGAGCTGCTCATCACCTTCGACAATCTGCCACACGTTAAAGAAAAAACATCACACGAAGACAAGGCAGTGACGGAGCAGCAGAAACACCTGCCAGGAAAACCAAAAAAAGGCAAACAGCACTCAAAGTCTCCATCAGGAGGGATTTAATACTGAATGTTTGTAGTTTTAGAGATGAGTGTTTTTCTGCACTAGATCTGAACTGGGAATGAAAGTAAACCTTAATGTTTGTGGTGGAAGACATTCAAGTGGGCAGAAGTTACTGTGAAAAACAGATTTTTATTTTTTTTAAATAACATTAGAAAAAAAAATGGGTTCACAACCTAACTCCCCCCAAAATAAATAAATAAAATCTAAAAGACGGAAAAGTAAAAGGAGTGGATAAAACCCTCATCTGTTCCCCCAACAGGTCTGGGGATCTGTTCTGTAGTTCCAACAAGGTGTATGCTGAGTTTTTTTAATTTAGATCATCAGAGGCAGCACAGAGCGACTGGTCCTGGTGAGGGGGCGGAGCCACAGCGCTCCATTCAGGCTATTTTTACACTAGTCATGTGACTACGATTGTGCAATACCCATAATAGTACAAACACTTATAGCAGCCCGTGTACTTTTCAATGGCAGCACACTTTTTAGTCGGGTTTAAGTTGGAAGAAAATCGATGAAATGAAATTGAATGACGCCAGGACGACCGTGAAACGTGCGTACCTGAAAGTGACTCAAGGTACAGCCATCTTCCTTACATGGAGTATTTTTATCACATCTGTCAAGTTGAAGACGCAGCCAAAAAAGTCTGATAGCTGGATTAGAGCAATGGGACGAGCTGGATTTGTTTGGGCACAAGCATGACTCGGTCACACACACATCGATAATAATACAACATACACAGATTTTAGATATCGCTGTCTTGAGTTTCATAAAATGATGCACAAACAGTTGCTCAAGCGATGAATGCACAAACTACAGGTGTGAAGACGACTGTATCAAGATCCCCACCTTTTTATCAATTCCACCCACTCCAGTCTGTCGAAGACCTCGATACTCCCGCCAACGTTTCAACTAAGCGGTCGTGTATTTACTGAAGTCAGACGTGCCCACCTTCGCAGCAGGAATGTCTTTTTCTGTGAAGTTATACGACCGAGTGTTGAAGCCACGCCGGTGTGCTCACAGCCAGGTTACTGTCAGAGTGAATTATCTATGCAGATGATGTGCGTGATGTCAGGAGTGGAGGTTTCCATTTAATCCACCACCAGCTGCAACGGTGGAGCCAGTGGGTGGCCAATGGTGGCCTTGAACATTGTAGATTAATCTTTGGCCACTCCAATTACCGTATTTTTCTGCCTATAAGTCTCTGTTTTTTGCATAATTTACATGCCCTGCAACTTACACACCGAAGCGACGTATTTATGGAATTTTCCCCATATTTATAAACCAATATTTGGCTGAGAGATGACTGTTTTCATTCATTATGACTGGAAAAAAAATTGAGCAGTACCACTTTCAGCCACTTGAAAGCAGCAGAGTAATAGCAGTAAGGCATGCCGTTGTATCATGTAATAGATAAACATGGCTATAATGACAAATTCAAAAAATTTCAAGACAAAAACAACTGGACTTTATTTATTATACTTTACTTTATACTTTATTGTTTTTGTCATGAACTTTTTTGAATTTACCATGTCCTGGATGACTGAGAATCTTCACCAGCTATTAATGACACAATCAGCTTGCCACAGAGTTCCCACCTTTGTTCTGCTCGCTGCTCGGAGCGACTGTCAAATCAGCTGCAAAATGCAGCTGATTTGACCATTAAAGAGCATTTATTAAGTAAAAGTTCAACTGAGACACACCTTTGCTATAATTTTGAGCAAAGAAATAATTGTTTCAGGTACTTATCTTGTTAAATTACGAAGAAACGAGCAGCATTCCCCCTTCCTTTTTTCCCTCCCTCTGTGCGCTCTCGGAGCGCCAAGGTAGCGAATACTTCTGAAATGCAGCTGATTTGACCGTTACTCCTTTTATTAAGCAAAAGTTAGACTGAGACACACCTTTACTATAATTTCGAGCAAACAAATAATTGTTTTTAAGTGTTAATCTTGTTAAAGTCCTCCCGTGCACGCCATTTGGCAGCCAATCGATTTTTGGCACAACACCGGCCCATATTTCCAGGTTGTCAGCGGTGAAGCATAATAGATGCGACGTATACGGTGAAGCGACATATTTATGAATTTTTCCACTTTTTTAGACAAATATGGACTGATGCGACTTATAGGGCAGTGCAACATGTACGGTGAAAAATACTGTATTTGAGAAAACTACACTTTTAAGCAATTAAAAACTAGAAAGCAAAGTTTCATTAAAAGATAGGGGTAGTCCATTTACATATTGATAGTTGAGGCCATCTTGGATTTCTCTTTTTATTTCATCAAAGTAGATGGTGGTGGCCATCTTGGATTTTGACATAGCGTTTTTTGTTTTTTTTACACCTATAGGTAGCCACACAAAAAAATAGAAGTCAATGCCTCACTTATTTTTCAACTTAACATGCTCACAACATGCATGGACAGACATGTAGACAGACGGAGGCTATTTCCAATTCTCTCTCTTTGCTCCGTGATGGGGGACAAATATGAAAACTTCGTCAAACTAACTTTTTTCCTGCCTCCATCTGTGCTGCACAGAGTTCTTACAGAAACTGTGATCATTAGCTTCATGTTTGGGGATTTAACTAATATTTCACCATGTAACGCTCCTAACGATGGTATTAGGTGGAAGTAACGCCTTTATTGTGCACATCATGACTGTTATAGTGAGAGTTGTGCACATTTTGTTTTGGATGTGGGCTGGAACAAATTCATTGTTTCCTTTATTTTTAATCAGTAAAATCTGTTTAAAAAATTTCCACTTACAACCAACAAAACAAAACCCACCAGAAAAGATCCAAACATGGCGATGGAGGACAGGAAGTGCCAGATGTCATGGTCGTCGAAGAATGACAACAGGATGCAGTCTCTGTTGTGCTCACGAGACTCTGCTGGAGTTTTCTGTCAGAACAAGAAATTTATGACGTACAAACCAAAAAGAAATAGAACCCGTTCTCACGGCCTAGAATCTGATGCATGTGTGTTGCTGACCTGCCAGGTGCTCAGACCCTGGAAGAAGAAGTAGAGTGCAAATCCCCAAACCACCGCCGTGAAGAGAATACACACCAGCGGCAGACACTTGATTCTCTCGCCGCTCCGAAGCTGAAACACATGAAGAACATGACGAGTAAGAACTGCTGAGCTGCTTCCTGATGGAAAATGCAGCTCTGGGCACGCACCTTCATGATGATGTAGAAGGCAAAGTAGAGCAGCAGGTTGCAGATGGCGATGGCCAGCAGGTAGGAGGCGAAGTCATTGGGTGTTTCTATGAGGCCGTAGGAGGCTCTGCAGAGACGGAGGACAGCAGGTGAACACTGGTCCTGGCTCCACAACGTACGGAAGAAGCCCAACGTTTACTTACAGAGACCAGTTGACGATGTTTCCCATCACGAGCAGAACCATACGGTCCTGACAGACAGAAACCAGAGTTAAAACAAGATCCACTGTGAGTTTTCCAACGTGTTTGTGGGAGTTAACCCATTTAATCCAACAGCTTTAATTGAAGTTATGTAAGTTTCCAATGTGACGGCTCTTGAATAAAAAAAGCTGCAAGTTGTTTGGTTTTTACTCACGATGTACATGGGCCCGCTGCACTGTCGGATGCAGTCTGTGTAGATAACGTAGACAATCCTGCGCAGGACACCAGTGTCTAACGCAAACAAAAAAATATATCCACACGTTCCACGCAAGAAGAAACTTTGAAGTAATCAAACTGAAACCAAGTTGTAGCAAATATAAAGTTTACAAATGTTCTGTTTGAACAGTTCATCACAGCCATTTGTTTATAAAACATGTGTACAGGAGTCCCTCATTACTTCATGGCTTGACTTCTGCAGACTCGCTCTCTCAGGGTTTTTCAAAGTACTGTAAGATTGTACACGATAAAAAAATAATCATGCACTGCCATTTTTGTAGTTTTCTTTCAATAAGCCTATACCATACCATTTTATTTGCACTTAAAACAGCTACAAGGCTAACCAAAGTGCTGTACAGACAGAACAACAGACGACAACACGAAGCAATATACAAAATGAAGTAAATCAAAAATATAGACAAGACAAATAAGCCTACAGTATTTTGCCAGTTTAAAGAACTACGTTACCAAGAAGCCATCAGTTCACTTCCCAGCAGTCAACACTGCTTCCAACCACTGCTTTCTGCAAATGGAGGGAAAGTTTTTGCAGCAAAGTCAGAAGTTCTGTAAGTTCTGTAAGGATCAGCTCACGGGACTGGCAGGAAATAAATCTGAAGCAGAACTCATCCTTCAAGTTGTATCTTCACTGATGAGTAGCTGGGCTGCAGCTGATCTGGACTCAGTGTGACCCGGATCCTGGAGGCTTCAGGGAAAAGACCGCGGCGGGGTTTGGCCTGGTTCTGGTTGCACGGTGCTGGTTTGGAACCGGGCTGAGGTGGTGGAAAATCCTAGGCAGCCTTCCGTGCGGAGTGTCCTTCCTGGAGTGGCAGCACACACTCATCAACCTTGATGGGGCAGTGGGCTTCGTCATGCTGCAGGGTAGCCGAACAGAACCGAGCCCGACCAGAACCGAGCTGGTGAGTACTCATATAAAATTCAGCTGTAGCTGCTGTGCAGTACATATCTGTATGTTGTTAAAATTAGTAGGTTTAAGAGTTTATAGCATTGATTGTGAGCTTTGTCGCTGCAGAGTAGGTCTGCAGAAACAGAACAGAGTCGGACCAGAACCGAGACCTGCAGTTCTGTAGAGCCTGGTAAGTAAAATTTAGTAGCTATATATACAGCACTGTACATATGTTATTGCAAGAGTGTGGGAAGGGTTTCTACAGCCTTAAAATATATATAAATACTAAAATAAATACAACGTTGTTGCTTCGTGGTTTTTCACTTGTTTACATTACATACAATCCGCTAGGGGGCACTATCATGCCAGTAGCACATGTTTTGGGGTTTTATACTCTTCTTGAGGTTGTATGTGTTTTGGTGTTGAGCATGGCAGAACAGTTTTTTTATCAGATCCAAAAGAGAAGTTACTTTTACTAACTAGCATTGGTAGCAGAAGATGGTTAGTAACTACAGAGTTCCACCAACATTTGAAGAAGGAAAGCCTTATGAAAGTTGGAGGAATGAAGTCAACATGAGAGTTACAGACTTGGAGAAGAAAAAGCAAGCGCTTGCAGTCCTGGCACTGTCTGGAAGGGCGCGAGACACGGCAATGGAAATTCTGATAGACTATCTAAATACAGACACTGGAATGACCACATTGAAACTAGATGTAAAATAAACTAAATAATATAAATAATATAATTGTGTGTGTGTGTATATATATATATATATATATATATAT